GTTGTAGTAGTAGTTAGTCGTCGTCGTCGTACGTATTACTTACGTAGAGAGACGCGCGTCGACACGTACGTAGTACGACGAACGTACGTAGTAGGTAGTACGTACGTACGTCTCTCCTCTCCTCCCTCCCTCCCTCCCTCCTCTCTCTCTCTCTCTCTCTCTCTCTCTCTCTCTCTCTCTCTCTCTGTGCGCCTATCCCCTCTATAACAAATACTCAGTTACACTAACAAATGCACACCAACTCGTTAACTCTTGCATATAGGCTCATTTTTAATGTGCCCTCATTATGATCCTGTTCGTAAATGGAAATCACAAAGATATACACACTCTCTCTCCCCCGTCTTAGAAAGATCACCATTATCTTACCCTCACGATTGAGCACAACCACAAAATGGTGGAGTTCATACGTGGAAATCCCAATCACACGCACTTTCTCTCTGTCTTAAAAACGCCAATACTGCTTACCCTCATATACAGGCTGAAATTTTATTGACCCATATAATTGTTCAGTTGATTCTCTCTCTCTTTCTTACACACAGTGAGAGAGAGAGTTCCTCACTTTCACATAGCTATCTGATTTATCTTTTCAATGTACATATCTTTCAGGATGACCTGGAATTCGTGGTGTTGTTGTCAGATGATCTCTATACATTTGTATTTTTTGTGTTTATTATTTTGGATTTCCTGGCCTTTTAAGTTGTTCCGATGGGTTGTGATTGTATAGATGTGCCATAAGAATGGCGTTATGCACAGAGATCTGAAGCCAGAAAACTTTCTCTATGCGAACAAGAAGGAGAATGCTCCTTTGAAGGCCATTGATTTTGGGCTCTCTGTGTTTTTCAGGCCAGGTAGTAAGCCCTTTATGTCCTTTTACTGTTTTTTTTAGTGGCCAATCCTTTTGATGGCTGTTGAGCTGCTGGAGTTTTCTCTGTTCATCTCAATTTTCAGTTTTTGTTAAATATCATTTGGCCTGAAATGTGGGTTCATAAGAATCTCATTGTGATTATCTCTATGGAACCACAGGTTCATATATGTACATTGTATATATTTATTTGTTTGTTTGAGTCTTACTAGAAGTTCATATTACAATGAGAAGCTAGATTAGTTGTTGTATGCTCATACTGTTTAGACCATACCATGCAATTTGTTGTAGCTATGACTGGTTTTGCAAGGAATTTATTTCACTTTGAATTTTGTGCCCTTATAGCGTAGCTTTCCTGGCGTCCCTCATACTCAGCAGTATATGACAATGTAACTTTTGGTCAATATGTGAGATGCATGGTTCACCGTCAATAGTAGCTATTGGCTGCCTAGCTCCTTTTTTATGGTTCTTATTTTATGTTTTTCAGGTGAACGGTTCTCAGAGATAGTAGGAAGCCCTTACTATATGGCACCAGAAGTGCTGAAGCGGAATTATGGACCTGAGGTGGATGTATGGAGTGCTGGAGTAATCCTTTATATCTTGCTTTGTGGGGTGCCTCCATTTTGGGCTGGTAACATATCTTCTGTTTTTTGTTCATAAAAAAGAAAATTTGCTTATTTCTCTGTCTTTTGCTGGTGATTGGATTTTTCTAGTGGCATTGGATTAGTTTGTTGTGATTTGCTTCTGGTTTTTGGAGCTATTGTTTTCATGATTTGGTTGAAACCCATGCATACCTTAACCTTGCTGGATATTTCAATTTTATACAAACACAACAAAAAAAATCCATACTGCATATTTTGGTTCCCGTCTAAATATAAGGTGGGAAAAAAAAGAGTACTGGTTAGTGTGAACATGCATTATTAATTTTTTTTTTTTTTTTAACATTTTGCATATACATAATTGTGATATCTCTAGTACTTCATTTACAGAGACTGAGCAAGGTGTTGCTCAAGCTATTCTTCGTGTTGTCATCGATTTTAAAAGAGATCCTTGGCCAAAAGTTTCTGATAGTGCAAAGAGCCTTGTACGCCAGATGCTAGAATCTGATCCAAGGCGTCGCCTCAGTGCTCAACAGGTTCTTGGTATGTTTCTAATTCTAAAATAACAAAAACATATCTTATTGTTAGACTTTGTAGATGATATTCAGTATTCACAATTTGACTGATTGAAGCTCCTGAATGGCTCATCTGTCACCTTCTTGTGATTTTCACTACTGTATGTCAGCTTCCCTTTTTGCTCGAATCATTTCAACTTGTCAATTAGCATGCAAGATCTTGATTGACTGATATTAGCAAAACTTGTATATTCACCGCTGTTGATCAGCAGTGAAGCAAGTGTTCGTTGCTTCACTCGACCTAAGATGTCTCTCTTACTTTCTTATACCATTTTTAATCCACAGCGCATTCAAATTAAGACATTTGAATTTTCATTTAACTTTGCCAAGTCTTGTAAATCCTTTGTTCAAGTTTGTGTGGTTCTTTTCACATCACAAGGTGTATATGATTGCTTTTGCTGGCTCGGCTCCAGAGGAAAATCCTCTGAAGCTTGCCCATTCTTTGGACCACCAATATTGGCATATTGAAATCTAGGTTAATGAATAAGAAAATCTAATAACATGGCTTCAATAAAGTGATTATACTTTTTCCTCAAGAGATTTGTCTTCTGTGATGGGTTCATAAAGTACTAGCAACTAGTTTTCTTACTGTAGATTATGTATCATGAAATGTGGCAGACTCGTGGGACTTGCTCTGTCTTCACTATACCTCATGCCTTTGTGTTGAACCTCATCACTTTGGTATTTTATAGGTTGACCTTTATGTCTCTATATGTGTTGAAAATGACCTTAACAAAAGCATAATGATAAATGCTTCTGCTCATGAACCAATTTCAATGATAATAGAATGCATGGAAAAATGTACGATACCTTTGCATGCCATAGCGATGTATGGGGTCTTCAATATATACAGCTATCTGTGTCTATCAAGATTCTGATTATTGATTTCAGTATTTCACTGCAATAGATATGCAACAAAGAAATAATGGTCTCCTTTCCATGGAGCCCTTTAACTCTTCAAAATCCTTTGGGAGTTCCATTAATCATTATGGAGAACTTGCTGTGAAGGCAGAAGTTCTCATTGACAGTCTGTTTATATCCACGAAATTCCTATCGATGTAGTTCCAGGCCTTTTCCAGGTCAATTGTTTGTATGCTGCTGAGCTACCCACTGTGCAATACCTAATCAAGCGTTTGGGCCATGCGTATCCCATCCAATATCTGATGACATCTGACAAAGCTACATTGACCAGTTAATAGGGTGAAAGGCTCATTTCATCAATGTCTTCCATGATCTCCCTTCTATTCGTCAGGGAGATAAAGGTAGCGTTATCCGCACTGTTTACAAAAACAGATAAAAAGTAACAACCTAGAAAAGAAAAGTAGAAACGAGATGCTAGAAAGCCATAGGTTTTTTTATTTATTTATTTTGAATGGTTCTTCTTTTAATTGAAAATTGCTTTGCTAATATCATCTGGTTCAACTCCCTTTTCAATCACTCACCTGACGTCTTGGAACCTAGAGAATCACAATCTGTCCCGAGTGTGATGGTTTCCAAAGATAACCTTCAAAGTAGTTAAGCTTCCTCCTTGAGATTTTCCTTGTATACCCTTTGTCATCCACCATAATATCTGTATATCACTTTGGGCAAGGCATTTGGAATTCTATGAAAGTACCTAAGGCTGCAACCACCCTCCTTGAGTGATAGCTCTGTTAAACGTGTTCATGACAACTTTTTCTCACCTTAGAAAATTTGGTGTTGAACTAATTCTCTCTCGTTTTGTAATCACTGTCATCCATATTCCTATACTCCAGTCCCATTGCCAGTATTATCTTCTAGTAAGTTCTGATGGGTTATATTCTTCTACAATTTTCTTTTTCAAACTTGTTAATGAGTTTCCCTTTAATAACTAGGAGTTCAATAGTTGTCGAACAAAAAAAGGTTCCTCGCTCTGGGGAAAAAAGAAGAAGAAGAAGAAGAAGAAAAAGATCCCTGAAGTACTTGCACATCTCCTAACCATGCATAGTTGGGAACCTACTAATAACTGTAATAGAGTTGATTTGTTGTAAGTTTTCTTCTCCCCATCTGTTCTAACAACATAAATTAAATACTTAAAAGGAAAAAGAGAAACTCTTTTAATTACTGTGAAGTTTCATCAGTCAAGAGAAATACAAAACCTTTTGATTAACACAATTAAATTTTCTTGAACCTTTTCATGGTAAAATAAGAAGAACCAATTGTAGGAGCTGTCATTGAAAAGTCTGACTCCACCAGATTGTTTTTTTTTTTTTTTTTTGGGGGGGAGGGGGTGATCAATGTTTATAAGATCATCCTAGCGGTAAAATCGCTATAGTTACATGGCTTTGCATGACTGTGAGTATGGAAGATCACATTTCAAGACTAGTACAAAATAATTACACGGTAATGTTTGCCCATTCCTGACACCCTCTCCTCTCTTTTTTTGGCATTCGAATTTACTCCATTAAGCACCTACCCTCCACTTGACATATTCTAATTTTTGCTGCAACTTACCCCTAATTCAGGCCTGTATGCTAGTCTACTAATGGACTGCAAACAAGTTTAGTGGTACTTGTTCTAAGCAGTTTGCAGAACTTGAATTCGGTGGTCAACTTGGCCCTTTTGAAAACTGAGTTGACTCACCTTGTTGAACAGTTGGCTTGCCAAAAGTCTGATGAGTTTTCCATATATATGTATATGTTTTTTTTTTGACAAGCACTAAAAACTACTGGTTTCCATGGTGTGTTTGGAACCCAGTTCATCATCAAGTCAAAACCACAACACTACTGCATTGAAGTTGCCATTTAGTTGCTAATTTCACAAACACTATAACATGTGCTGAACTGAGGCATTAATGAGTTAAGAGTTCTGCATTAGTAAAACACAGCTGTTAGCCAAACTGGGTTGACTCTACGAGTTTTTCCAAATTGCAATTAATATTTGTTTCACTGGTTGAAAGTGATGGCGAGGATCAGTATCCAAGTACTTCCTCCCATTTTCACGAAACTGGTTGCATCCTTAGGAAGTAGCTGGATGGCTGATTAGCTGTATAGCATGTGACTTAAGTGACATATGCCTGATGTAGTTCATTCCTTGGATGATTAATGCCTTGTATGGCTCATGCCCTGGGTGGCTTATGCTTTGTATGGCTTGTGTCGTTTATCGCCTATGTCCCTTGTGGTTTAGGGCCTATGTGACTCACACCTTCTATGTCTCATGTCTTATGTGACACATGGCTTGTATGGCTCATGTGATATGTCCTATTCGTCTGACAAGCGGAGCAAAAACAATCTTATGGAGCTCAAGTGTAGTGGACTCTACTAACCATGGGAAAGAGCCTGTTCATAGCCAGTGTTCGGGGGGTTCAGATGTAACTTCTAAATCAGATCGGGGTTAGAATGCTTCTTATCCAGGCCGATTATACACTAACAGCCTGGGAAGGACCAGCTGTGGTGAAAATCTATGTATCCTCTTTTAATCTAGCGTAGGCCGATCCAAGATGTTGAGCTGGATTCACTAACTTCCAAATAGACCTAGGGTCTCGTGGTTTAAAGGCGGACTGTCTTTCAAGACGAAGGACTCTGTTGTCGGTGCATCTTAACACCTACATCAATATAGCTTCAAGGGTATACTCCACCAGAAACCAATGTCTGTTCGATAAGAAATAGAGTAGGTTCATGATTGTATTTAGTCACCCTCCTGTGTCACTTTGAATCGTGACAATTCTTTATAGGCTAAGTGACATTGACTTCAAGACTGTGCATGTTTGGCAAACCAAACTTACCAAACCACGGTGGAATATTTTGGTACATGGAGACTATGATTATCATCGGATGGCCTACCATGCTTTTGCAGCCGGAATATTATCATATGCAAAATCACGTTTGTGCACAAAACCAAAATAGATAGGTCACCCCATCACCCTCCTGAGGTCAATCGAGTGACTTCTTGTCCAATAGCGGTCAAAAGTGGAAATAAATTGATCCGAATATAAATTCACCTTCCTAGGAAGTTGGATGTATTCACATGCGCATAAAGGGCTTTACAGCCATAATATTGCAAATGCATGAACAGTAAGCTGATATTAGAATGCATTCAAACATAACTAATAGAGATGGCCTATATCTAGCATATCGTTACCTGCAGTCAAAAGCCACGAGGGTTAATTTTGATATGAACAGGTGGTTATTGATTCACATATGAATAGTATTGGGATAACCTTGTTAAGAAAACACAGACTCCTAATAAAGGTACAACATGTGGCATAGCCTAGCAAACATGGGAGTTGGTCATAAAGCCCATCTTCTTATGACCACCCAATAACTAATATGGGGTGACCCTGCTAAATGTGGAGTTGAACAAAGTACCCACTTCTCTATAACCAACTTCTGCCCTTGTGTGACGGAATATGTGCAAGTTTATGAGGCGTGGGAGTGAAGAATTATACATGTGGCAATATGGGATGGCCCGTCAAAACATGCAAGTTCGGTAATAAACCCACTTTCTCATAACTGTCCAATGAAATGAAAAACAGGTTAAAGATAACATATTTGAAATCAGACAACTATTTTTGAACATTGAAAGGAAATTTGATCTATCACATATTTGAAATCAGATGATATGTTTTTATTTCAGAAGGATAACATTCTTGCAGTTTCAATGCGGACCTCTTTCATTGCAGGAAACTGGTTCCTGTTTCTTAGCTTGTGCTATCATTACTCTTCCACCCCCCCC